ATAATTGCATTGTTTGCTGAGTCATCTTAAAACAGAAGAATTCATAATTCATCATTCTTTCATACCCAATAAACGAACATTTGTTAAAATTATCTTTAAACACATTAGTAGTGACAAAACCTTTATCCTCATTTACAGAAAATTCAAATGATGCCAACAAATCGTGCAGGATTTTACGAACAAAATATCCATCATCTGATAGTGGAAAGTATTCCATAAAGCCTGAAGGACTAAACCTCACGGTTCGAGTATTTTGTGACATGGTTTCAAAGAATGGTGTTGGTGTGACAGAGATTGGACATGACAGTGAATCGAGAACATTAGTTAACGGATATAATCCTCCAGGTTCTTACAAAAGAAAGATTAAATATAACATTTCCATGGAGCAGATTGTCGCGATTATCAAGCAGTCGAAGAATTGTGAGCAGTTTATAAAATATGAATGTTTTGGTAGCATGTTGTTGACTGATTCCGACGGATGGTGGGTATCACGTCAAGGTTCAAACATGACTTACTGGGGTGGAGCGGCAGTCGATAGTGGAAAGTGTTCATGTGGAATGACCAACAGCTGTGCAGGTGGAAAAAAATGTAATTGTGACATGAATGACTACGCATGGCGTGAAGACAGTGGATACCTGACAGACAAGAACACGCTGCCTGTTACTGAACTGAGATTTGGCGATACAGGTATACTTGACGGTTTCAATGAGCGTGGTTATCATGCGCTGGGTAAATTACGCTGCTGGGGATAAGAGATCGAACATCAAACCTGATATGATTCATAAAATTAAATAAAAAAATTTTGTAGTTTTATTCAATCTACTTCTCAACTTGCTTGTAGTCATCATCGGGATAGATTAAAAATGCTGGGATTTATCCCCGAGCCGGTGCGAAGCACCGGGCGAGGGCACTAATTCCGCCCGGAGATTTTAATTACGCCCGGGAATGCAAATGCGAAATGAAAGTTGTCTGCTATTATGTCATGGACGTTGGGCGTTTTTGTAAGTTATGCGCCTGCGTGAGTTTAAGACGAGTTAAAACTGGTAACTAGCAAACGTTTACAAACGTGCGATTAGCTAAATTAAAATTTTCATCACGTCAGCATAACTGATATTTTGAATTATAAAACTTTTAAATAAATTTTTCATTTGGATGGTCTTAAAAATATACGAAAAATTGATTCGTAAAATTCAATAAAATACAATGTAAAAGATGCCCTCGGATAGAAAAACTTTCATTCAAATATACGGTAAAAAAAACTACGATTTTGAGGCATTTTTGAAGTGCTGTTGAACAGGTAAGTGGGTAGATTTTGTATTTTAAAGCATGCAAGCATTTTGTAAGTCTTGAATTTATTCGTCAATTTCCTTGAAATGATTTTGATTTGGAAAGTATTTATTTTTAAAGGTTAATCTGTTTAAAAAGTAATTGAAATTTCGCTAAAAATTGTAGTATATAAAACTATTCGTAGCACAATTTATTAATATGATTATAATCGAATTTGATAGCTGGAGAGTCGACTTTGTAATTGTACCAAAATATAGGATTTTACTTTACGACTTCAATCATTCGGCAGAAACGAGTATTATAGCATTTCACTTCAGTGATGGAAATATATGTTTATTGCTTTAGGCGAGGGGACTTTGCATGCAATGTATTTCTAGTATAGTTAATAAGGAGGGACTTGATAATTTCATTAAAATATGATCAGTTCTTTGGAAGGCTTAGCACCGTGGTTAAGAACTTTTTGGTTTTCGTCGACGTATTGCGAAGAGCAATGATTTGCCCTATGTAAAATAACTTGTGTTAAGTCAGTGTTTATACTGTTAGTGCTATCAGCTGTAAGTTCCATCAACGATCTGACTTGTTGGAAGCGTACACTTCAGTCAGAACATATCAGATTGATGATACCACTTGTTTTGTTGTATAAAAATATTCAGTGCTTTTTGTAACTATAAACCTTACTTTGAAATTTCAATATTCATTAAACTAGACATGTAATAAATACAAGACTACTCGCATTGCTGTATTTAACATCGAATATTATAGACCCAAGTATTCGTGATTAAAATTTTAATGATTGTTATCTATTTATTGTTTAATGGGTAACAATCTTAAGCTTTCCGGCAATAGGAGGGAATTATTCATGTTATCTTATTTTAGCATAATTACAAAGGCGATTATTCAAATTTCGGCTATCTTTAAAACCAGGAACGGGAAATCAAGGAACGGGGAATGGGAAATGAGAATCTCTGGAATCTTTAAGACCCGGAATGAGAATCTCTGGAATCTTTAAGACCCGGAACGAGAATCTCCGGAAACTTTAAAAGCCGAAATGAGAATCTCCGGATCCTTAAAATCTGGGGCGATTGTTCGAAAGGCGTTTAGCTTAAACGGTGTTTAGTCGCAATCCACCGTATAAATTTCTTATGCGGCTGATAGTTAACAATTAGGTGATAAAACTGGGTTATACGAAGCCCGTTTATTCTCGCGTTTAACCATCCCCTGGATAAACTAATTTATTAAATATAAATGTTTTGGTAGCGTTTTTTTGACAGATTCCTATGGTTGGTTGGTATCACGTCAAGGTTCAAAGATGAATTACTGGGGTGGAGCGGCAGTCGACAGTGGAAAATGTTCATGTGGAATGACCAAGAGCTGTGCAGGTAGAAGAAAATGTAATTGTGGCGAGAATTATTGGACATGGCGTGAAGACAGTGGATACCTGACAGACAAACGCACGCTGCCTGTTACTGAACTGAGATTTGGCGATACAGGTGTACTACACGGTGAAGATGAGCGTGGTTATCACACACTGGTAAATTACGTTGCTGGGGATAAGAAATGTAACATCAAACCTGATGTGATTCGTAAAATCTGTTGACTTTATAAAATACAATAGAACAGTAACTCGAAGTAACATTTTGTAGTTTTATTCTATCTACATTTCAACTAGCTTGTAGTCATCATCGGGATAGATTAGGGTAATATTACAAATTCTGGGATATATATATATATAGTTGAGAAGGAGGAACTCGATAATGTCTTTGAAATATGATCAGTCCTTTGGAAGCCTTAGCACCGTGGTTAAAATCTGGTTTTCGTCGGCGTATTGCGAAGATCAATGGTTTGACCTATGAATTTTTTTGCAATTTTAAAAAATAATTTGTGTTATAAGTCATTCTGTCAGTGTTTATACTGTTAAGCCTGTTTTCCACTAGGCGACTTTTTTCGCGCGACGCGACTTTTTTCGCGAGAACAGTTTGCGCGATCAATGTTTGCAATTTCCACTGAGCGGGCCAATAAGCGAGCGCAAACTGGCGAATCAGCCAAACGACTGGTCAAAAAGTGTTGCAAACAAGAAAAACAAACATGGCAGCTTTAAATAGACGCTGGATTTTAAGACGAAGAATTGTGATTTTGCTGCTTTTAAGAAAGCGAAGGCAACGTGTAAAATACAAGAAAAGATTCTGGGTGAGAAAAGTTTACGATGAACGCAAGTCAAAGGGTGAATTTAACGTTCTTGTACGAGAATTAATGCTGTCAGACCACGAGTATTTTTTTCGTCTGTTCAGGATGTCTCCCGGTATGTTTGAGCTTTTACTATCTTGGGTCGCACCGTTAATAAAGAAAGAATCCACAAAAATGCGGGAACCTATCCCTCCGGACGAAAGACTAGGCGTAACCCTCAGATATCTTGTAACTGGCGACGCACAAACGACAATAGCTGCGAATTATCGTATCAGTCCCACAACAATTGGCCGGATAATTGAAGAGACTTGCGATGTATTATGGCATTGTCTTTCTAAACAAGGGTTTTTACGTGTACCGTCAGATGTGAAAGAGTGCAAAAAAAAATCTCTCAAGAGTTTGAACAGAGGTGGAACTTTCCTCATGCCCTTGGGGCATTGGATGGCAAGCATGTTGTGATGCAGGCACCTGCTCGTTCAGGGTCAACTTTCTTTAACTACAAAAAAACTCACAGTATCGTCTTGCTGGCTGTTTGCAATGCCCGATATGAGTTCACCTTGGTGGATGTTGGTGATACTGGCAGACAATCTGACGGCAGTGTAAATGCAAACAGTTACCTTGGGCGTGCAATACAAGATGATTTGCTGGATTTTCCTGAGCCAGAGTCTTTATTCATTTCTCCAAGTAAAAAATTTCCATATGTTTTCCTAGCAGATGATGCTTTTGGTCTTAAAACAAATATGATGAAACCCTACCCTGATCAGTATTTACCTGTAGCTGAGAGGATTTTTAATTACCGGCTCTCAAGAGCTTGAAGAGTAATTGAGAACGCTTTTGGTATCACAGCTACACGGTTTAGGGTTGTACTTATTACCAAAGCTGTTGTTGCTTTGCACAACTTCTTAATGAAGTCAAGTCAAAGAAACAATTCTTATAGCTACTGCCCACCAAATTATGTCGATCAAGAAAGTTCCTTTGGTACAATTCCTGGTGAGTGGAGAAGGAATGGAAGCTCAGATGATCTGTTACCCATTACACGTATGTGTTCAAATAACTACTCAAGAAACGCCAAGCAAGTGCGAGATGATTATAAAGACTTTTATGAAAGAAGGGGCAATAGACTGGCAATGGGCAACTGTAACAAGAGCCTGAAATAATGTTGTAAAGGCAAATTGTAACTTGTAAAAATTGTAAAATTTGAACATTCTTATAACTATATACATGTTAAATTATTGCATATATTTTGGTAAAAAATTTTTATAAATATATATATAAATAACAAACTGTTGATAATAAATTAAGGGGGTGTTTACATGAGCCCATACAGGGAGGGCTGACCTTGCTGGGCAACATCCCACTTAAGTTAACACAATATTCAAATTTCTGTTGGTTATTTCTTAAGTTAGACTACACAACAATATTCAATTCTGTCTCATGTAAATGCAAGATGAAATCCAGCCCTACTGCTAGGGTTTGCCTCCTTGTAGAGCTCATGTAAACACCCCTCAAGAAATTAAACTTTACAATACCTAAGCAACATCATCAAATTCTACTTCAAACAACAATTGACTGATCTTTATTTTAGCCAGCCTTCTTTTTTTATCAGGCAATCCTTTCATAATAGGTACAAGGCTTCGGCAATATAATGAATCTTCGTCGTCATCCTCTTCAGTCATTTTCTTGTACATGGCATCACTGTCAGTTAATTGCTTTAAAAGCATGAGTTCTACCACATCTCTATTCATCCTGTTTCCACTTCTGTTGGTTGAAAAGAGTTCAGAACTGAGGGGACGCTTGTGTGCCCTTGCAGCTTCTGTTGTCTGCATTCTTGTTGAAGTGGTGGGTACATCTTTGGTTGGAGTGCACCCACTTGAACTGCCTTCCACTGTTATAGTATCAGCAGGGGGGGACAAGATAGCATTTAGATTGCTTTCAGTTGGCCTATTTCCTACACAACCATACAGGAATGCCATTTGTTCAAAGTAACGGCACATTGGCAGGCAGGATGCAGTCGCTCCAGATCTTGTCATTTTTGACCTTTTGTCGAGGCACTTTTTTAGGTTGTCCTTCAGGTTCTTCAGCTGTCTTTGAAACAAATCAACTAAAATATAAAAAGTACAATAATATAAATATTATTGGGTACTTAAATTGGGTTTGGGTATTTAATATCAGTTCAGCTATCATGCATTTATGCAACACACATTGACAAAGTTAAAACATCTCAAGCCAAAAATATGGATAAAATACAGCTATAGATCACAAATTGGACTGAAACAACTGATATTCTATTAGTTATGCCTATATAATATATTAAGTTAATTTTACTATTTTACATTAAATTTAATTTATGATATAAAACCAAGACACAAAATACTGAAATACTTTATAGCTTTAATAAAGAAATATACTTCATTCTGTTTGTGTCTTTGTGAGCTTTATTAATTTTTAAAAATTGCTTGAAATTTTAGAGTCCAACCATAAAACAAAGTTTCCAGTTTCCTTACCATCTCTGTTAAGAATTTCTGATAATTTCTTCCAAGCGTTGGCCTTTGCTGTTCGGTCTTTATATGTGCTGAGACTTGTGTTCCAAAGACAAGATAGTGTTCGCACTTCTTCGAGGAAAAACTCCTTGTCAAATTCATTATTCTCCGTTTCTGGAGACTCTTCTGCACTGTCGCCTGTTTCTCCACTATCGTTTCGGCTTTTAGCTTGGCGTAAATTAAGCTCTTCCAGACATTGTACATCTATTTTCTCAAGCAAAAGACTACTTGTATCGTCCATGTTTTGAAAAAGAAATTTCGTCAATTCCTCTCTCGCTCCTTTTTCGCGCGAACAAAGTTGGACATGATCCTACTTTTTTCAGCGAGCGCGGCGCGATAATATTCCAGGAAAAAAGTCCCCGTTGACTGCAGTGCGCATGCTCATGACGAAAAAAGTCGCGTCGCGCGAAAAAAGTCGCCTAGTGGAAAACAGGCTTTAGTGTCATTATCTGTGAGTTCCATCAACGATCTGATGTGTTTGAAGTATTTACATGAGTTTATATATAAGCGTAAATCTCGGCATGAGCTTTCACGTATGAGATCATAGACAATTCAAAAGACAGGTCGGGACTGGAAACGCCAACCAAAGCACTTAGCACCGTGGTTAAGACCTGGTTTTAGTCGGCTTATTACGAAGATCAATGGTCTGACCTATGAATTATCTTGCAATTTTAAAAAATAAGTTGTGTGAAGTCATTGTTTATACTGTTTGTGTCATCAGCTGTTAGTTCCATCAACTGATATGTTTGAAGTGTTCACATGAGTTTATATAAGCGTAAATCTCTGCATGAGCTTTCACGTATGAGATTTACGCTCATATAAAATCATGTGAACACTTTGAACATATCAGATTGATGGAATTGTTGGAATTTGTTGTGTGGCATAGAAATATTCAGTGGTTTCCGTAACTATAAACCTTACTTTGATTATCAATATCCATTAAACTAGACATGCATGTAATAAATACAACACTACTCTTCATGCTGTACTTTGACATGGAATATTACAGACCTAACTCCCATGGCCAACTATTTGTCATTAAAATTTTAATGATTGTTATCTCTTTATTGCTTAATGGGTAACTGTCTTAAGCTTAATAATTTTCTTGTATGATTGCATGGCGACTTTAGTAATTATAATAACTTGTAGGTACACCACGTAAGTATTAAATACTGCAAAGCTTTCGGTCCGTTAACCCGGACCTTCATCAGTGCAATTACTTGAATACACGTTTGCGCGTCACTTAAATATCATGTTAGTCGTGATTAGTTTGCTCGCGCTATTAATTAAACCGTTTCATTTAATTAAGTTCTAATCAATGCGCGCGCCCTAGACAAGTATTTGACTAAGAGACACCGAAAAGAGCACGCCACGTACTATTAAGTGGCTTTCCCTCTTGGACGATAGTTTGATGTTTATAAATTTCAATAGATTCTCTCATTTTACGAGAGACAGTAAACTTATCGTTTGCTAAAATGGTAGCATCGTTCCATTTAATGCGATGATCATAAGTCCACGCATGGTGAGCTACTGCAGACTTATCCAGTTTACCTTTCTCGCAGTTCGTCTTATGTTCTTTAAGACGTATTGAGAGATTTCTACCGGTTTCTCCAATGTAAACCAAACCACATTCACATGGAATGCGGTACACACCAGGTTTCTGTTGTTCATCGACGCCATCCTTGTGTGTGTAAAGAGCGCGAAACAATTTGTTATTGCTAGAATGGTAAACTTGTATTCCAACTTCTTTTAAAATCCTAACGATTTTATATGAAGCTGGGCCAATATATGGTAAACAGACAGAGGATAGATATTCCGTGTCTTGCCTCTGTCTTTGCTGTTCATTCATAGCATGTTCTATGAATTTCTTAGGATAACCATTCATGTGCAGAACATCCTTCAAATGCTTTAACTCTGAGTCAATGCTATTTGAATCACAAATTGTTTTGGCACGGTTGATTAATGTTTTGCATACTGATCTTTTAATGCTAGGATGGTGAAATGAAAAAGTTTATAGAAAACCAACACACACTGACAGATATCTGAATTATAGTTCATTTCACCATCCTAGCATTAAAAGATCAGTATGCAAAACATTAATCAACCGTGCCAAAACAATTTGTGATTCAAATAGCATTGACTCAGAGTTAAAGCATTTGAAGGATGTTCTGCACATGAATGGTTATCCTAAGAAATTCATAGAACATGCTATGAATGAACAGCAAAGACAGAGGCAAGACACGGAATATCTATCCTCTGTCTGTTTACCATATATTGGCCCAGCTTCATATAAAATCGTTAGGATTTTAAAAGAAGTTGGAATACAAGTTTACCATTCTAGCAATAACAAATTGTTTCGCGCTCTTTACACACACAAGGATGGCGTCGATGAACAACAGAAACCTGGTGTGTACCGCATTCCATGTGAATGTGGTTTGGTTTACATTGGAGAAACCGGTAGAAATCTCTCAATACGTCTTAAAGAACATAAGACGAACTGCGAGAAAGGTAAACTGGATAAGTCTGCAGTAGCTCACCATGCGTGGACTTATGATCATCGCATTAAATGGAACGATGCTACCATTTTAGCAAACGATAAGTTTACTGTCTCTCGTAAAATGAGAGAATCTATTGAAATTTATAAACATCAAACTATCGTCCAAGAGGGAAAGCCACTTAATAGTACGTGGCGTGCTCTTTTCGGTGTCTCTTAGTCAAATACTTGTCTAGGGCGCGCGCATTGATTAGAACTTAATTAAATGAAACGGTTTAATTAATAGCGCGAGCAAACTAATCACGACTAACATGATATTTAAGTGACGCGCAAACGTGTATTCAAGTAATTGCACTGATGAAGGTCCGGGTTAACGGACCGAAAGCTTTGCAGTATTTAATACTTACGTGGTGTACCTACAAGTTATTATAATTGTCTTAAGCTTGCCTGTAAAAAAGAGTGAATTATTCATGTTATTTTATTTTAGTATAATCACAATATAATCAGTCTGTTTGAGCAACTTCGGAATACCAAGTGGTAATCACTTAAAAATGAGGTAAAGTCCGTTCTGCGCATATATTCCGCGCAGCAACACATTCCATCAGTGGAGGAGCAACTTTTGGAATGTTAATGATATGCGATATTAGCGCGTTGTATTACAAACGCACAGTTCGGGAGCACAATTATTTATTTTATGTCGAAAGGCGAAGAGGCTCGAATTGCGAGTGACGAAGATAAGGCTGCTAGATAAAAGCAATATTATGATGAAAGGAATGCTTCAAGAATTTATTTGTTGAATTAGGTCACGAGATGGCGAGGCTATTTTGTCGTCGCTAGAGACGCTACTTTCTCGCTTGTCCTCCAATTACAAATACTGTACATAAAGTTTTAAATAACGGCCGTTTATTTATAAGCTTCGCTTTATATCTTCTTCAGGTCACACTATTAGAAATTTACGGTGTAGTGTGTAGACGATCGAGCGTGGCTGGCTGTCTAGTACTTGGAAAATTACGTCGCTGAGGAGAAGAAATTAAACATTCAACCGGATGTCATTAATGTATATAATCTTGCTGATTAACTTAAAAGTTGGAGATCGAAAAATTCTGTAAAACCGGTCAACGTCTGTTATAATATGACAGACTGATTATTATTATAATAATATTTGTTGCATTATTTTTTTCTCGCCGACTTGTTCCTTCGCACTTTTAATAAAGCCTGCTGAACTAAGTTGGGTCGGTGAAATGGGTCAAGTATATTCACATTCGAGATCTAGGCAATATTTTTAGGCATCACACGTTTTTAAAACATTCATGAATTTCTAATAATGCCATTTTTACAATATTGAAAAATTTAAGTATGGTTTTCAAAGCTTGACATCTTCAAGAGCATGATTATTCATATACTTCAAATATTTCTACTTAATTGACTTTAACATTGAACAGCACAAAGAATAATAAAATTGGGAGGAAAATTGAGTTTAGACGATTATGTTTTCGGCGTGCGACTAGTGCAACCAAATCCTGACATAACTGCACGTTTATATAGCGATAATATACACCTGAAAATTCTTGCCAATGAATAAAAATAACAACGCCATTGTATGATGAGATAAGTGTTCTTGATCAAACATGAGTAAACATTTGAAGCAATAAACACTGCATGAGTATTATAATGCGAATGAAATATTCGTTATTAAAATTTTAATGATTGTTATATACTTATTGCTTATTGGGTTATTGTCACGGTATAAATTAAGCTTGCCTGCCATGAACAGGTAATTTCTTTCATGATATCTTATTTTAGAATAATTACAAAACCTTTAATAGATTGTTCGAGGGACTTCAAGTTATCAATTATCAATCACTTAAGGCACTGACACATGCACGGTGCAATTTTTCCTGCAACCTGCATTGCAATTAGTCTTTAAAATGTTAGTGTAAGAAGCGCCATGGAGTATAATAAAAACAAAAGTTTGGTGGATGCCAATTTACATTTCTTAAAAGTAGAATTGCATTCCAAGTTGCATGAAAAATTGCACCGAGATTTTTTTAAAAAGGAGGCGAGTTGTTTTTGTCAAAGCACATGTCAAAGTGACCCACTAAGAAATCATGCAGTAATTTTACAAAAAAGCTTCTAGTAAACTTATATAAAAATTCTTAAAACATCTGAATAAGCCGATGCAGTAGCGTGCAAATTTGGGCGATATCGAGAAACGAATGTGCAGCATTGTAAATTAATAAACGCCATGTTTACATTTTGAACGCTATATTATAATATACTGTATATTATGAAAACTGTCTGCATAATCAGCACAATAATAGCTCGCTATGGTTCTTAAAACAAAACTAGAGTTATTATAATAACTTGTAGGTACACCACGTAAGTATTAAATACTGCAAAGCTTTCGGTCCGTTAACCCGGACCTTCATCAGTGCAATTACTTGAATACACGTTTGCGCGTCACTTAAATATCATGTTAGTCGTGATTAGTTTGCTCGCGCTATTAATTAAACGGTTTCATTTAATTAAGTTCTAACTAATGCGCGCGCCCTGCTTTCTAGGGCGCGCGCATTAGTTAGAACTTAATTAAATGAAACCGTTTAATTAATAGCGCGAGCAAACTAATCACGACTAACATGATATTTAAGTGACGCGCAAACGTGTATTCAAGTAATTGCACTGATGAAGGTCCGGGTTAACGGACCGAAAGCTTTGCAGTATTTAATACTTACGTGGTGTACCTACAA